CACTGCCCCTACATCCATTACTAAATTAAAAAGGAAGGAAGAAAGGAAGAGTCCCATGGGCTTGCCTATAGGCCTATCAATGGAGGGTTTTCTCACCTGTGGCTCCCTGTTCTCAGATATATCTAGCTTCATGTCAACTTAATGAAAACAACCAGCACAGCCTGTTGCAATAGTGATGTTGAATCTGATTATTTAAAGAGTTATTTTATAATTCTCAAAGGAAAATTATTCTTTCTAAAAACCAATCTATATTTATATGAAGCCAGTTATATAGATTGGACCTTAAAAGGTAGAAATTTCTAAAACTATTGAGACTAGAGATTAGATTTAGTGACAGAATAAAATCTTGCAGCATATGAAATGGACACACAGAGTTTTCTTCTTTCTCCTCATGGTGACTGGAGTGCTTCAAAGCCTTATCCCTCATTGCTCAACTATGCCCTAAAGCTGTCATTTTCCATATGAGGATAAACACTTAACTCTGGTGTTTCCTCTTCAGAGGAAACTTTACTCGCTGTTTGTTATTCTTGGTAATGGCCATAATGATTTTAAGCTTTTTGGCTATTAAAATTTAGTTTTGTATTTCTGGCCTTTGTGTTCTTTTATTACTGTACAGTTTGTAGTATATTATTTCAGTGTAGTATAGATTTCAGTAAATTTTCCAAAACCGCATTTGGAAGTTTGGAATCAAGCGAGTTACTTACTCTGAACCTCCTGTCACCCTGAGGGAGGGGTTAAATTTGCATTGAGCTTTGAATTGAAGTCATTATCCCATTTTGAAAGAACACATGCTTTTTTTTTTTTTTTTTTTTTTAAGTTGATGGCTACAGAAGTATAAAAGCGTCAAAACATTTAAGTGCCAAGTCTAGCAGAAAGGGTGATATGTCGGGAGTGATAGGCCTGGGTGAGGAGAATGATGCTTAGACCGCATCCTCTTCCTCTCTGCTCTCTTCTGCTGGGCTCCCCCAAGCTGGTAAACCACTGCCCATGGTGGACTGGACAGCCTCAAGATGTGGAGCAGGCATTGCTGCTTGTGTTGGACAACACTTTTCCTACTTATTTACTTTTAAAACTGGAACAACTGCTTTTCCACAGGACTCATTTCCTTTATGTGCAAGATAAGAGAATGGGGGAAAAAAAGTTCTGTGGTCTTTTGCAAAGCTGACAGTCGGTAAGTAACTCAGTCCTTTCACCTCTCCTCCTGCAGTCAGCTCTGGTTGTCTAGTCCCCTCAGAAGTGAGATCTAACGAGACACAAGAAGATGGACCTTTCTTCGATGTTGAGGGTCCTTCTTGTGAGGCCTAGGCCCCTAGGCCCAGACAGGGCTCCATGTTACCACAGCTGGGTGCTAGGAACACATTGCTGATGTCACTGTGCTTCCTTGTAAAGAGAAATTCTCCTAGGTAGCATTAGGAATAAAACTTTTGCTCCCTCCCCACCATCCCTAGCCTTTTAAAGTCAAAGCAGCTGACTTTCAGAGCTTAGTTCATCAGTAACAGTAAAGTGTATGTTTTTGCCTGAAGAGGTTTGCTTGCAGTGATTGCAAATAAGAGCCTAAGAGTGATTTTCGTTGCCAAGTGGCATCCATTGTAGAGTCAAGGGTAGCAGAAGCAAGGCCACTCCATCCTCTTCCTTTTCCCTACATGTCTCTACAGTCAGTCACAGCAGCACTGACTGACATGAGGAGTACTCCATCGCCCCATGGCAGGGCTCACAGCGCCTCCTAGCTCTCAGGAAGTATCAGCCCTACTGAATGCTCCAACGTAAGGACCTGGTGGCTTTAAATTTTACTATTATTTTTTATTGGAGATAAAATGAGATCTAGAAAAGGTAGGTAGTCAGAGGGATGTCACACTTCTATTTCAGTCTTTTCCGCCACTGGCTTGCAGGATGTGTTTGAACACCCACCCACAAATGGAGCTTGGTTATGAAGTGAAGGAATGCTTCAAATTTCCTGTTCTAGAGCTGAAGAACTGCTGAACACTTAGATAAATATTCTTCTTTGAGCTCCCTAGAAGACAGGAACTTATAAATATTTAGTGTTATTGTTACACCTTAGGTACAAGGAGACAGGAAACTTGTGATCCTCCCAAGAAGGGAGCTGTTTCAGAGCCCCTAGTGCACACCAAATGGCTCTGCCTTGGCTTGCCCCCACCTGCCTGATGCTGGCTTTCCTGATTCTCCACCCCACAAATGGCCCTGTGTAGTTGACTAATGTAGCAATATAAATAAACTTTAGCAATAGAGGGTTGGGGTGGAAGAGAGGAAGCTCAGCTTGGGTAAGGCCACACCAGCTGATGTCAAGCTGCGTCAAGTTCACAGGAGGGCCATCAACATAAAAATCAAACTTTGAGTTCATGAATGAAAAGGGTAAGGAATAATTCATTTTAAGAAAGGGTAATCCAGCCGGATGTAAGATCTCACATAATTTCCAGCTTCCTTCCGTCCTTTCTTTGTCTTCCTTCCTTTCTCTCTTTTTCTTTTCTTCCTTCCTCCCTTTCTTCTTTCTTTTCTTTTATCTTTTTCCCCACCCCAATCTATTCATGTATTCCGAGGAGACAAGGGAAAAAGAAATAAGCCCCATCCCAGGTTTCCAGTCACTCTGTTATTAGTTATTAACTCCACGGTCTCTTGGTACATTCTCGCACAGCAGGCTGTTCCTGGGATGTTTCAGCGTCAGCCCTGCAGGATGTTCCAACGATGTCCTGGGGACAAGGTCCAGAAAGGCACACAGGGTTATGTTTGGAGTACAGACTTTCAGGAAATTTCTTTTTTTTTTTTCTGAGTTTACTTTCTTAATTATGTTTTTCAGAGTTTGCTGACTATTTTCTTTCTAAAAGGCACATTTCATTTTTACAAAACCAATATCATAAAAGATGAACTTGAACCTTCTTTACCCTTGATGTCATTCTCTTTCCTGCTATACCCCAAGCTTTAATGGACTTTCCTACTTCTTTCCTTAACTCTTTTCTTTTTTTGGCATTGCTAAGGTTTGGATCTGCTTACCCACACAAAGTAGCCACTGAACTGCACCCCAGGCCTTCTGATTTCCTTATACATTTAAGACAGGCATTAATAAAGCAACCAATTTCCAAATCAACTGACAAGACGCTTTTGATCTAGGGAACTCAGGCGCTTACAAAGGGAACATGACATAGTTTTCTATTTTGTCTTAAAGCACAAGGCTATTTCAAGCCAAAGTAGAGTGAGTCTCTTGAGTAGGAATCATGCTGACAGTTTTCTATGTGTTCAACTAAGCTCAAGATGAACACAGTGGCAAATTTAGGGCATATTTGAGAAATGGTGCTAAGGTTTTGAAATAACTCCAGTCAGTACAGGTATAGAGGAGTGAAATGTGAATATGGTTATTTCCCATGATGTAAGATTTTATTTCAACTTTAAATCAAAGTTATAATTTCAATATTTTGAAAATTTCTACATCTTAAGCTCCACGATAGACAATTAGCTTTATATAAGTATAATTTGGTTTTCAAAAAGAAATATGCTTGATTCCTTCTAACAGGTTTAAAGATGTACAGGTTTTACACATTACACACACACACACACACACACACACAGACACACACACACACTGTGCTGGATAGTTTTGACAACTTGACATGAGGTAAAGTCATCTGAGAGGAGGGAACCTCAGTTAAGAAAATGCTGCCATAGATTGGGTTGTAGGCTGGCCTGTAGGGCATTTTCTTAATTAGTGATTGATGGCAGAGGGCCCAGCGAGCTATAGGTGGTACCACTTCCAGGCTGGTGGTCCTGGGTTCTGGAAGAGAGCAAGCCTGGAGGAGCAGGCCAGTATGCAGTACTCCATGGCCTCTACCCCAGCTCCTGCCTCCAGGTTTTTGCTCTGCTTGAGTTCCTGTCCTGACTTATTTCAGTGCCAATGTGGAAGTATAAGCCCAATACATTTTTTTTCTCCCCAGTTTGCTTTTGGCCATGGTGTTTCTCTCTCACACACACATACACACACACACAGACGTGCACACACACGCATGCACATACCCTAGTTTGACATCTATACACACGTGGACCAAATACGAACCACAGGTGACCCTAGAAGGACAGAGCGTGCATCTCTTTTCTTATCCGTATTTTGGTCTGATATCCCCTTATTTGGTTTCTCACTTGTAATTTTTTTAAGTCAGCCTAGACTCTGCTTTTGAAGCATGGTAAGATGTACATAAACTAATGAGGAATCTAATTTACTCTTAATACGAGTACTGAGCATCTGGAGGACATGAGTGGTGTGTTCAAAGTCAAAGCAAACAAGACTTCTGATTAACAGGCTCATGGCCACAACTTAAACCATCGGGTTTGGAAAGAAAGTTGACCTTGACCTGATCCCCTTCACAACCAAACTAAATGAAATCAAATCCCAAAGAAAAGCTCCTAAATCAGCAGAGGACTAAGATTTGCACACACACACACACCCATCACCTCAAGAGGAAATTTGACTGAAGGAAGGGCGATGGGGGTGGGGGTGAGTTGTGCCCTCCTTGAGGAGCAGGCATCCTTAGGTGCCCTGGCTGAGGAAAGCCAGGGACGCGTGGTCACCATCTGGAGGTGCGGTGCTTTCGCTTTCTCTCCACTGCACCCCAGACTCTCCCAGCTGTCTCTTCCTTCCTGTGGTCCCGAGTGGGAAGCCCTTCGAGTCTTTCCTTCCCAGTCTTAACTTCAACTCCTTTTCTCTCTCTTCTTCCTACCATCCATCTGGCCAGGTCCCATTTCCTCTGTTTCTTCCGGGAGGTTCCTCGCGTTCCTGCCTTCTTAAGCCAGACTTCAGGGACATGATAGGGTGCCGGGTGGCAGCAGCAGGTGGATGCCTGGGAAGAGGCTGGGGAGTCTCCCCAACCCGGCGCCCGCGGGGGCGGGGACAGCGGGAGGACCAGGCCAGCCCCGGGGGCGGTCCCAAGCTGGGCTCCGGCCGCGGTGCGGGTCTTCGCCCCCAAGTGGCAGCAGCCCAGGTGCGGCGGGACGGGAGGATGTGCGGCTGGCCGCTGCTGGTGCTGTGGGCGCTGCTCTCCGCGACGGCTGTGGGGAGCCCGGGCCGCGGGTTCCCGCACGGCACGGTCCTCGACCCCGAGGGCAAGTACTGGCTGCGCTGGGGCCGGCAGGGTGGGCGGCTGGCCTTCCGCCTGGAGGTGCGCACCACAGGCTACGTGGGCTTCGGCTTCTCGCCCACGGGGACCATGGCCGCCGCAGACATCGTGGTGGGCGGCGTGGCTCACGGGCGGCCCTACCTCCAGGTAAGCTCCCGTCCCTTCGGGGAGCTCCTTGCTCCGGGATAGCCCAGGCTCACCCCGGGAACGCGGTGCTGGAGCGGGTAGGCAGTGGAGTCCACGCAAGGGGGAGGCTGACACAGCCTCCCTCTGCTCAGCAGAGTTCCTGTTGCCTTCGCTGCCACCTTTCGCCCCAGGGTCCCCGGAGTCCATCCTGGGGTCCCCGCCTAAGTCATTGGCAGTCTTCATCCCGGGATGTTTTTCTGCTCGGGGAAGCTCTTTCATCCTGTGCGCCGCTTAACAAACCATCTCGCTCTGGCCACATTTTCACTTCCACCCCCCACCCCACCCCACCCCCCAAAAAAGGACCACAGCTTTGGAGACCTAACCTGCGTGGAAGGGCTGGGTGCACTTGGTTGTCTAGGGCTGGGGATAGCAGGCAGTCTCTAGTGGTTGGTTTGGTGAACACCCGGAGCAGGTTAACCTTTGCTGTATCATACAGGGGATGAACGGAAGGCCCCGAAGAGTTGCTTTAAAGGACGCTTTGTTTCTTACAGCTGTCGAGGAAGCCAGGTTTAAGGAACCCTCTATGCAGGGAGGGTTTTTTCATTTTGAAGGGCAACAAAGCTCGCTTCTTCTCTTGCTGCCCATGCTGCCCCGTTTGTTCCAGGGAGCGGTGGTCGATGCTGTCTGATACAGGCGTTTTTATGTGTAGGGAAGCGGCCGGAATGATTCCGTGATTCGGTTTCTGGGATATTTATTTGATATTGAACAACATCTGGGCCACAGTGGATAGACGCACTTTCTCAGGGGCCAGCTTCCGTCCGAGAACACTGCCCTTTGCAGAAGCCTCACGCAAACCTGCTTTTCTGAGATTGTCTCCCCCTGGGCAGCGTGAATGTCTAGGTAATTTCTCCTGACTTCTAACTTAGATTTTCAGAGCATCCCGATTGAGGTGTCATTCCATTTTAGCTTCAGTTCTGACCCGGAAATACTTGGCTAGGAATAAATTGACAGCAATTCAGATTTCCAAGCCACTCTTCTTACGTGCTCGTTTCTCCCAGATTCATCATTTCCTCTCCATGTTTGTACTGTGCAACTCTGAGAGGAAAAGGCCCGTTGAGGCCCACTCTGCTGACTTCCCCCACGTGTAAGTTTTAAGTCGCTACATCATCTCCGCAATGAAATTTGTTGGCTGAGGATTTGACCTCAGGCACAGGCCTCACTAGCCAACTGTCTTACTCTCCCTTGATCTGAGGTAGGTTGCTACCTTACTTTAATAACTGTTGCAACCAAGTTGCTTTTCTCAAGCCGTTTTTGGAGAGTATCATGACCTTTGCACAGCATGTAGAAGTGGGCATGAGGCATCTTGCAGTGGTTACAGCAATAGGACATGCGTTAAAAGTTAACTACTTTTGCCAAAAGAGCAGCATTTCTAGAAAAGCCCACACAATTAGATATCAAATGAAAGTCAGAGGGAAAAAATCCTGATACAACTTGCCATAATGGGTCCATCACAAACATCTTGCTAAACCACATACTATTTCCATCTTGTGGGAGGTTATTCCTGAGATTATGTAAGAATTAAGTGTTCTTCAGATTGATTTTGAAACTCTGAAATTTTCTTAAAGCAGAGGGCACATACTACTTTGAGATACATTAAAACGGTCACTATATGTAGCGAACAAGAAATAGCATTTTTCTACTTTCTGTTGCTCCAGAAATGCATTCCTTGTTTGCATATATAAGACCTACTCAGTTTCTTATTTGTCTGGCATCCTTTAGCACTTCACTTCTTTAGAGATTCTGCTGACTTCAGGGCACAGATTAGATGGAAAGAGAGCCTCTTTAAAACCTCCTTAATAAGGTAAAAGATTAACAGTTTTAATAAAAAGAAACATTTTGATTATAGCCAGTAATCCACGGTGGGAGATTTCATTTTTCTAATACTTAAAATAAGCTCCTCTCCTTAAATACTTATCTGGAATTTTTTTTTTCACACAGTGGTATGACAATTGTGCCTTAATTAACTCTACCCAAACCAAAGTAGGCTTCTTTAACAAAGTGTCTGTGATTTTACCACTAGACTTTGGGTTGTATGCAGTTCTGCGCCCAGTGAGAACTGACTTCGCATGGAGCAATGACACAAAAACCTTTGGTTGCCCGGGGCATCGGTGTAAGCATAGCTTCGCACAAATAGCTGCACAGCAGCACCAGGCTATGTGATGAAACCCATCATGATGACTGTTGGCACCACAGTCATCCAGTCTGTGGCTTTTCCCTTATGCTTCCGTCCTTCCCAACTTAATTTTAGACTTGAATTTTCAATTTCTTAACCTTCTGACTTTTATTTTTAAAAATCATCTATAAAGTCTTCGTTGGGAATGAGTCGACTCCTGCATGACTAAGAGTAATTCCCAACCAACCAGGCAGAGAAGTTTTGAATAGATGCCTCAAACCAAAATACTTGGAGACAGCAAGAGGGCGGTCTCAGTGTAGTGTGGGCTTGAGGAGAATAGGCAAGAAAGACAAGAGTTTTCTGTTGAGTTACTTTTTCTGGGGAGTTCAGATCCAGTGTTGCCAGACATTTTGCTTGTCTGTCTTGTTCTTAGAGAGAAGACAGAAATTCAGTGTGTGTGTGTGTGCGTGTGTGTGTGTGCGTGTTATCCAATTAAGTTTGCACACAGCACTGTGGACAAAGCGTGCATACATGAGCACTTTGAACTGGAATATATCTTACAGATGATGTAATCTTGGACCAAGAAGGAAAAAAAACTAAGTTGAATAAATTATCAACACAAATTATGAAAATCCATGGAAGGGAGAAAGGGAAGCCCAATTTCTGTTCAAAGTGTTAGTTCTGTGCCAGGAAATGATTTCAATATGGGGGGGGGTGTCTTGGCCATTATTTGAGCTATTGACTCGCATGTAAAAAAAAAAAAAACTACCCCAAAACAAACAATCACCATCATTTTGTTCAAAAGTATGTAATTTGGGCAGGGCTTGGTGGGACCTACTGCTGTTCTCCACGCTGTGTCAACTCTAAGGTGGGTGGCTGGAAGTCTCTGAGGGCTTACTCACCTAACGTCTGTCTGGGATTGAGGTTGACTATGGGCTGGGGCCTCACTCAGCCAGTTCTGTGGTGTGACTGTGGCCTCTTCACGTGGCTGCTTAGCTTCCTCACAGCATAGTGGCTGGTCTCAGGCTGAACATCCCTAGAGGCCAAAGTAGAAACTCAATGTAGCCTTTTATGACTTTTTGACCTTGCCTTGGAGTCAGCCATCGGTGTACTTGTTGCCATAGGATCTTAGAGTCAAAAGAGAGCCTATCTTGATAATGGGATGTATTAGTGTGGCCATTTTTGTAGAATTAATTCTACCACACCTATTGTTAATAATATGCCACCCCATCATATTTGGTATAGAGGAGGTTTATTGTGGGAAAGGCGGGGTAGGTGGAGGGGACGAGGATGTTCAAGACAGAAACAGAAAGAGAAGGAATAAAAGAGCACAGATCCCGTGTGGCAGTTCCATCTTATCCAGCACACACCTGGCATCGGCGGCATCAGGTGATCGGATCAGAGGTTGCTAGGCCTTCATGAAGCTAGTTGGACTGCCTGTATGCTAAATTCCTCCCTTTTTTTGATTAATTAAAAAATTACAAACTTAGGAAGCGGTAATGAGGTGGGAATGCAGACTTTGTGTTCAAAAAGGCTGCTTCCTGCTGACTTGAGGGTGATGGCATCTTTGGGGACCCTAAGAGAATGGGGGAAAGCTGGTGAAGTCCTAGGAAAACCTCCTGTTTTACTGCTGTTCAGGATCTGTGAGGACATCTTCAGCTAGGAAGGAAAATGTAGGTCAAGCTAACACAATCTGTGAGGCTAGATCGGAGCACCTGTGGGTAGCTGCTTTGTCGATGTCCTGGATGTAGGAAACACCTGGACTTGACAGAATACTGGAACATATATATGGGCAGAAGACAAAATTAAGGAGGGTAGAGAGAAAATTCTCTTTTAGGAGTGCATTTGAAACTTTTAGACCCATGATTTTGGTAGTTGGGGGAGGGGAGTCCCAAAACTAGGGAGAGGGGGAGAAAATCCCACCCTCTGAAATAGGCAGTAGATGGAAAACTTATTGATTGGCAGTATTAATCTAAAGTCCATCTGACCTGAGAGGTGGATTCAGGTGGATTTCCTGTAGCTTACCAGAATCCTTTCTTTAAGTTTACAAAGAAGATAAGTTTTGAAAACGTTAGCATCACCATTGTTGAAATGCACACTGCAGGAAAAGGCAGCCGACACACAGACACACATCTTTGTGTTATAGCAGAGCAGAGGCTTAGGAAATTATTTTGTGTTAACAGCATGAACATTCTTTAAGGTGAGATGAGGGAAGACAGAAAGAAGCCCTCTGTAGGGTAGAAAGGGCAAAACTCAGTTGATCTTGATTTCAGTATGACTATACATCATGAAGGAGGGGCTTTTTCCCTTTACCCCCAAGACTGGATGTATATAAATCTAGCACCACAAGAAGCATTTCAGTCTATATTTAAAAGAAAAACCAAAGGAATTTTAAAATCTTGAACTTGGAACCATGAAAGTGTATCATATAGTGGAATGGTTTCTTTTTGTTGTTGTTGTTGTTGTTTTCCAGAGTTAGATTAATAAATCAGGACTCCAGTGATTAACGTCAAAGCTCTGAACATTCTTAATACCACAGTACCATAGCAACAGGAAGAAATCTGCAGCATTTTCCATTCTTTTTGGGTGAATCACTGTCTTATAACCATGTAGGTTTTCATTTGTATTTGTTAACCTTAAAACACCTTCTTAGACCCTAAAAATACTTTCTTGGGACATCATAACTTAAGCTTCTGTGTCTTTAGGCCTTATGTAAGCTTTATATCTTTCTTCCTATCCAGTTTTTTCCCATGAGACACAGGTGACACTGTGGGAGCAGTCACTGTCCCTTAGCTAAAGCAATAGTAAAAAGTTACATCTGAGACCTGTTTTTGAGTCTGGTACCAAC